CGTTTGGGAATAATCGTTATTATTATTATGAGGAAAGTGATTAGGGTTGATTGAGGAATTTGCTCTGGTCGGCAGAAGAGAACAACAACTTTGACCAAATGGAAAAAGAAGAAGAAAGAAAATCTTTGGACAAGGAGTGGTGATTGAATACTAATGATGTTTGGTTATCCCTTTTGTCTTAATTATATAATTTTTATGTGGCAATATTTCAACACTCTTTTTATTTTATAAATGAGGCGCACCGGTTTTTTTTTTTAATGTTAACCGATTAAATTAGCCTCGATTTTGTTGAGCACGCGTTAATATTTTCTAATGCCTTTTCTTATGCGAATTAATTGTCTTTTGAGCTACTGTTTTCCTTATCTCTTCTAATTCAAAATTTTCCTTTTTTAAGTCTTTCTTGAACCTAGTTTGAAGAGAACAATTTCCTTTTCCTTCTAATTAGCAAAACCAGAACTCGAGCGTGTGTTCAACTAGAAACTCAATTCAAGATATTAATTCATCTGTTCCTTCCAATGGTTAAACATAAAGACTTGAAAAAGATCAAAAGTAAAACAAAGGAAGAGAAAATTAAGACTAAACTTTGTTACCGTTCAACCATGAAAAGACTTTAGCAATATTGCTTGTAAACCTCGTCCTCGAAGTACCTTTTTACAGATAAATATAAGTTTGAATGCAAAGAACTTCTAAGCAAATTTGGCTTTCCATCAAAATCACTTAAAACTTAGACAAAAGAACAAATGAAATGAGTTTCTAACGAGTCAAATCAAGATTATATTACCAACAAAGTAATGAATTCGTCATCCCAAAAAGGAAAATATTTTCTGACTTTGAAATATAGCTTTACTCAGAATGAAGACATCTTTAATTTTTACTAATTAAAAAAAGCATTGGAAATAAATTAACTAATTTTTTTTGAAAACCTAGCACAAATATAATATTAAATGAGAGAAAGGATTAGATTAATTTATTGAGAGAGAGAGAGAGAGAGAGAGAGAGAGAGAGAGAGAGAGAGAGAGAGAGAGAGAGAGAGAGAGAGAGAGAGAGAGAGAGAGAGAGAGAGGTAACGTTAACTATAAATACTGAACTAAATCTTGTGATGGAAAGTTAATTTGGTCAGTTAAAATAAAATGATGTGTTTTAACAAAAAAGAATGTGAGAATAGCGTAAACAAATGAGCATGGAGAGAAAGGCACCGTCCCATAGACCCACCCAACATCATAACTAACACATTAAATAAAATGTATGCAAGTCTTCAAATTAGTTATTAATCATTGTCAATTTTGAATAAGAATGTAGGCAAGTCTTCATAACGTCTCAACATCATAATGGTGTTCGTTGTCCTTTTTGTTTTAATTATTATTATTTATATGGCGTTAGCTCGACACTTTTTTTTATTAAAGCACGCCCCTAATTAGCCCAACTATATTAAGCATGCATTAATACTAAGTAATGGCTTTTTTTTAATGCGAATTAATGATTTATGAGTTGCTATTTTCCTATCAAGATTTGATTCTGAAGTTCCTTTTCTATTCTTTCCTGAACCTAATTTGAAGAAAAATTTCCTTCAAGATTGAAAAAAAGAGGTTAATACCACGAAAAATCCAAAACAAGTATACATGTGATAACTTTACCCTCCGTTAATTTCATTTAAATTTTACTGTCAAATTTCTGAATTGGATGACATGTGACAGTTGACGGGCATACCAGTTTAAGATTTTATCCTCCGTTTGTCACAGATGTACCGGTTTCGTGATTTTTTGTGAGTTGGATGACACGTCACAGTTAACGGATGTACTAGTTTCGAATTTTATCCTCCGTTTATCACAAATGTACCAGTTTATGATTTTTTGTAATATTAATCCAATTTAACGGAGGGTATATTTGTCACCAATGTATCAGTTTGGGGTTTTTGGGAATAAAAAAAATTAGTTAAGGGTAAATTCGTCACAAGTGTACCAGTTTAGGGTTTTTCATGATATTAACCAAAAAAAACAGATAGCAAAATCAAAACCTGTGTGGGTTTTCAACTAGAAACTCAATTCAGCATTTTACTTCATATGTTCTTTTTAATCGTTAAACATACAGACTAGAAAATGATACGAAAAAGAAGAAAAGAGAAAGATCGAGACTAAACTTTTTTAGTGTTCAATCACGAAGAAAGTTTATCAACATCGCTCGTGGATCTTGTTGTCAGAGATTTTTTCCTATAAAGAAATATAACTTCGAATGAAAGAACTCGCAATGAGATTTGGTTTTCCATTAAAATCACATAAAACTTAGAGAAAAGAACAAATGAAAGACTTTCTAACAAGTCCAGTTAAAAGCATTATATCTCCAACAGATTGATAAATTCATTATCCCAAAGAGGAAAAATATATTCTGACTTTGAAATATAATTTTACGTAGAACAAAGACATCTTTTGTGTTTACTGATTCGAGAGGATATCAGAGATAAGTTGATAATTTTTTTCTTTTGCAAACCTAGATCAAATATATTATTGAATGGAAGAACAGATGAGATTAATTTTCTTGTGAGAGCAAGAGAGAGAGAGAGAGTGGGGGGGGGGGGGGTAATGTTAGTTATTAATACCGAAACAAATCTTGTAATTGAAGGGTAATTTGCTCAATTAACATAGAAACTGATGTGCTTTAACCAAAAAGCCGAATACAAAAATAAATAAGCATGGAGAGAAAGGCGGCATCCCATTGAGCCATGCCTTCATAAGTTCTCAACATTAAAATTACAATTTCAGATAAAGATATATGCTAGAGTCTTCAAATTAATTGTTTTTATTATTATCAATTAGCAATTGTGGATGGGGCATGGATAATATCCTAACCTAATGTTATCATATAAGACATATAGTTATCGATACGAGAAACCGAAGCACGAGGTTTATTTCTTCCTTGGAACCACAAGAACAAGAAAGCTTGAAAACTCTCTAATCCCTTTGGCAATGACATGAAACTACGTGTAACATGAAGATACGACACAAGGTGCATCCTATCATCAGGTTTATAGAGATTTATAGCTCCATTTGTTTCGTGTAAAAACAAAAATTTTTAAAACAATTGCCTAAAAATATTGCTTTGTCGCTTGAAATAATTAGCTAATAAATTTTTTTTTATTATCGACAATAATTTATGTTTAAATATTTTTGTGAACGATTAAAATATTTTTTGTTTATTCATTTTTGCAAACGATACGAGCGATCATTTAAAAAAAATATTTTCCAAATCCTTGATTTTCCGTAAAACAAACGCACCCTTAGATTGAAGATTGGGCTGCTGTGACCCTGCCAAGGCCGACATAAACTCCACTTAGTTTGTTCACACTTTCTTCACTTGCATGGCCTTAATCCCTCGAAGAAAAAGTTTTGGTATGACCCGGCTTGACCCGATAAGCCCAAAAATATTGACCAGACCCACCTAAATCTGGGTCGGGCTGTTAGGCCCGTGACTTGGTGTAATCCATGCCTGCTTAGAGTGAAGAAACTGTGAACCAGGCTCAATGGATCTTTATGCTGTCCTTCGATGAGGCGAGGTCGCTAGACTCGAGGATCGAGAACGGCACCGGCACGTAGGAGGCGATAGGTTTTGGCGGTTGATATATCATTCGGAAGCAGGGAGGGCCATGTTGATGTCCGATTGGCATTTGCAATCTCGCGACAAGAAGCGACAGGTTTTGGTTGACGACTCGGCCATGTTAAAGATCAGAAGGCTTTGCCCCAAAAAATGGTCGAAACAAAGTAAGCAGAGAAACTCTAGAATGTCCGAGACCGAACTCGAAATTTGGACGCGTATGTGACGCCACATCAACATCATAGGTCCATCTTCTACCACATCGACAACACCACATCACCGACTCGATGGTGTTAATAGATAGATAACCGATGAACTTTATTGCGCAAGCGTGCGGACACACATACAAGTCAGAGGGCTTGTTAGCACAAAATAAAAGTTTAAGTCCCCTACTTAATCATTCCAAGAGAAGAGAACCTAATAGCTTGCACTGAGCAGAAGGAACAAAGACCAGTCAAGAATTCTAATCATGAGATCCTGACCGTGAAGAGAAGAAGCACAAGGAGAAACGCAGCTTTGAATGATAAAATTCAAAAGCAGCAGCAAGAAGCTGCTTGTTCAAGAATGCCTCTATATGTCAATGAAAGAATAGATATGTCACTCAGTCTCTTTATTAGGACGAGACATTTTGTATTGCTATGTCATACATAGGCCAGTTCATGTCATATAATATGACCATATGACCAGATGCTCAATGGGAATGCATATATCAGCATCCACAACCTCTGTGCAAGCGATGAATTACCATCATTCCAAAGTGCTTTTAGCCTTTTGAAGAGGATGCATGAGTTAGTAGCCATAAAAAGACAGCGATTGTCCACCTGGCCCTCGAAAGAGAGTGAAGAATAGTGCAAAACTTCTCAACCTAGCCCACATTACCGACTCCAAGCCATCTCAATCCACCAAAATCTGTTTCGATCGAAGAACAACTCATCGAGCCATTGTCAGAATGAGCCAATAGAACTGAATCTTAACAAAAACAGCAAGAAATTAGGATGTCATACTCACCGCGTGAATGTCCATATGAACTCAGGAATCATCTGGGGGTCAGAAATTGACAAACTATTCATCGTGCATGAACTTTTCCAAAGGCAAGTCATTGATCTACAAATTCTCTTGGATAGAACAAGGTCCTTTACCCAATTAAGCTGATTACTTGCTCAATAAGTCCACGCAAGTTGAAACGAAGTCACTAATGCGTGGACATGGCAGCGTAAAAGGACAAATTCTTCATTTTGAGTGATCAACAGTGATCAAATCTCAAGCAAACATCTAATATCTAGTAGTTCTGCACCACTCATCACTACACAGCAAAGAAACGTGACAGATTCTTTTTCAAATTCTTTTTGTTTAATACTATTGCATGAGTCAAGACTCATATCTGAAGTGCCTGAAGCTGATCAACAGCTAAACGCTTAACATCCAACCCCACCACATCTTGATTTGCAATTCATAAGGTACTGAAGATTCTATATTAAGTAACTTATAACCCAAACAAAGCAGAAGGGGTTCAAAAGTTTCATAATTACCTGAGCCACAACTATCTGGAAGAAAAATGAGACTAAAGCAGAGCTGCAGAAGCAGTTTTTAAGCAACAATTCACGCTTGTACAGATGTAGAGTATGAATACTTGATTGGTCGAGTATGCTTTCAGTCCAGTCGCCTCCTCCTGGTTGCACGAGAATCCCCACTGTCAACATCTGAAGTCCTAGAAGCATCACCTCTTCTTCTTGAAGATGAAGTTGAAAGGGATACCATTGAATCAATCTCAACAGCGGTATCCATTTGGCTTTCTGAGTTTATTACAGCAGCAATGCTTGAGAAAGAATCTCTATCGTCAACCGAAGGAGGCTGCTCCTCATTTCTTCCTAGATTATAATCGCGCAAATATGCTTCCATAGGACTTGTAGCATTTCTATGAGCTTGTGTTCTTCTAATCAATAGAGAGAGTCGGCGGCTCTCTCTCCGATCAGTATTAGGAATGTTGTCCCTCAGAAAATGAACATCATCATCAGGCGGCGGCACAGTTGCAGTTTGTTCTCTACGCATTCCACGATTAGTCAAAATTCGATTTAGTACAGAATTACTCCTTGGTGTTTCACGGATATCACTAGACTCCGGCGGCTCAGTCATATCCTGGGTCAAATCAATTCTACTCCCAAGATGCCGAATGATGTCCTCCATAGGGAAATGCAGGGGAGATCTCTGAACAACTTGCCTGAAACTTTCAGCACGACGTGCATTAGGCCTCATGGGGATCTTGAGAGTCAAATCTTCCTCAGGCTTACAAGTACTGTTCCCACGCCCATATATTGGAGTCACGGTCTTAACAGTTACCTCTCCCTTGCAAACAGGACATTCCTTCACATCCGAGTGAATGTGTAACCATTGGTAAAGGCATGGCCAGCAAAACAAGTGACCACAACAAGTCACAACAGGGTCTCTAGCCAAGTCCAAACATATATTGCAATCGAAAAAGCTCCCCTCAGTCTCACTGCCTTTCTCCATGTCATCCTTCTTCTCTGACTTGGCATCTACTAGAAAACTCGCGTTGTTCTCACAAACTTTGGGCTCCTCTCCTAATCTATCCTCAGCAGGAGCACTCCCCTCACCGGTGTGTAAGGTCGTCACATTACCCGAGTCAATCACCAGCTGATCAAGGTCCATGGAAATGTTCCGAGCATCCGGCGAAATCCGAGCTGCCCGCCGTCTCCACCGCTGCCGACCCCTCAACCTAGCTTCCCTCATCCTGCTAGCCTCTCTCATCCTCCGAAGCTGTCCCTCGTACCAGGTCTCAAAATCCGCAATTCGATTGGACACATCCAGCTCTCGATCGGAAACGGGTCCCAGATTCAAATCCAGGTTCATAGTATCAGACGTCTCCTCTGCCATTGGACGGAACTATGCTCCTCACAAGCCGAACGACCTCGAACAGCCTTTCTCAAACTGCACGAGCGAAGCAAAGAGCAGCAGATTCACTCAAGAGCTGGAGACACAAAAGCCATGGAATTCCCTCTTCGATAAAAAAAAAAAAAGCAGAACATCAGCGGAATCATCAACACAAGCCGCCGCCGCTGCCGCCCGTGTTGATTCAAGAAAGCGCACGACCAAGAACACCTTAAAAAAAGAGACCCTCAGACGTCAAGAAAAGCCCCAAACTTTAAAACCCAGAAGCCAGAGCGCAAAAAAACAACGAAACCCCTCGAACATCGGCAGAGCCCACCGCCGATCGCGAGGCCAATTGCGTCCCGCCGGACACCCAAATCGAAATCCAAGAAAAAAGTCAACCGGGTCCCCGGGAAGAGCCGCCCCAACCCCCTCACCCCACCCCACATCATCAGAGCAAGGGACAGGGGGGAGCGGCGCGAAATCAAGAACCGGGAAGCAAAAGGGTATACGGGAAAAGCGGAGAAAGAAAGGAAGACCTGAGGCGCGAGCGGAGATCTCGCTGCTGCTGGGGCCGGATCCCTTCGCCGCCGGCGGTGGCCGCGGAATCAGCGCCGCCGCGCCGAGCCAACTCCCGGTCGACCCTGCCGTGGATGATTACCCATCACCGTCCGTCGCAGGTAGAGAGAGAGAGAGAGAGAGAGAGAGCTTGGGAGGGATGGGGTGAGTTCTCTCGCAATTGGCAGCGAAGAGGAACGAGAGGGAGCGAGAGGAGGTGATCGCGTACGCACAGTACGCAAGGGAACCGAGGGGGGGAGACGTCGCTACGTGAACGACCGGGATTGAAACGAAAGCTTTGGCAGATTTCGCGAAATTACTATTCTGTCCCAAGTGCCCCCCGCTTTCCTCTTTTTCATTTTCGTTTTTTTCTTTTGGCTCTTATTTTTTTTGGGGGTCCGAGCACTCGGTTGCGTTTGTTGACGTTGCCCCGCGTTCGCGCCATGCGATTCGAAGCACGTGTCGGATAATCGCGAGTCCCGCAGTTGAATAGGATACTTCGAGGCATCGTGATGACATAAACAGTTTATGAACTTTGGTTCATTGTGTAATGTATAGTCTTTGAACTTTAGCATAATGTTCGATGTGATTTTTGAATTTTGAATTTGTTCAATTTCGTCCCCGAACTTTAGGTATATATTTAATGTAGTCCTTGAACTGCATGAAAATGTTCAATATAGTCCTGATCTTGAATTAATGAAAGAACTACATTAAGCATTTTCATATAGTTCGGAGATTAAATTAAACATGCACTAAAAGTTTAGGAACGACATTAAACAAATTCAAAGTTCAGGGACCACATTGCAAATTGGGTTAAAAGTTCAGGAACCACATTTCATATTGGGCCAAAGTTCGGGGACTGTTTGTGTCATTTTCCTATATTTTTTTGGGAAAAAGTCACAAAAGATACCAAATTATAACCACTTTAACACATTTATTTTAAACATTTTTTTTGACATAAAAAATACCAAACTATGCTCACTGTGATATGTTAATTCTAAACTTTTTCTTGTGACATAAAGAAACTTTAAACTTTTACCCTTCGTCAAGTTCCATTATATGCTATAAAAAAATGTTCTGTTAAATGATTTTTCAGCCAAAATAACGTTATTTCTTATTTCAATTAAGCCATGTGGCGTCATATCAACACTATTTTCTTTCCGGCGTCCATGTAGGTAGTTTTTTAATGGTTCTCATTGACGGAATTTTGACGGAGAGCAAATGTGTTACACAGATATAAGTTCAGGATTTTTGGTATTACAAAAAAATTTTAAGGTAAATGTGTCACAGTAGGCATAATTTATAGTTTTTTATGGCATTTTTCTTGTTTTTTATTTAAGTAATTATATTATATATGTGTATATATATTTGTGCAAAATATGAAATTCGTCTTGCCAAATAAAAAAAAGGTAATGGCCACTTAATTTCATGATTTTCCTTCTCTTATTATTTATTCGCATGTATATTATATATATTTTTGTCATTATATGTTTACCAGGTTAATAAACGTGTAATTTGGCCTTTCAGAATACTTAACAATTGTGGGTTTATTTGAGACTCAATTTCGTTCGTTAATGTTCATCTTTAGAATAGCTAACATTATTCAATAGTCTTTTTACTTCATGAGATAATGTGAATTTTAATCAGTAAAATAGATGAATTATGATTCAAAGTAAGAAAAAAATAAAATTAAAGAACCTTTTTATATTTTTTGGCTAAAAAAAATAACCTTTTTTTATTATCAATATGTAAAGTTGGCCTCAAATAGATCCATCGTCTCTTTATGTCATAATCGTATTGTGTCAAATTTAAATCTAATCCGATAATGAGACATTTATTGATCGTGTTGTATTCATGAAAATCGAAACACCAAAGATTTGATTAATTGGTTACACATTTTGAAGCTTTTAATACATTCAAAATATAGTTTCATATATAAATGTCAATGTGTAAAATGTGTTCTAACATATGTTTACCTCATATTTGATAGGCTGAGTTGTTTTATGGATTAGCTATATTCATTAAATGGGTCATAAATGGATTTAGACCCAACTCTATGGTCATAAATGAATTTAATATGGGTGTTAAATAGGTTCATAACTTACTTAAACCCAACTCACCTCTATGACTCTCTTCACTCCCTCTCACTCTCACTCGATCTCGTGCTTGCTCATTTCGTACTTTAACCTTAGTTTGGATATGAGTTTTTCCTAAATTAAGTTAAATACAAAAATATTTCAGTAATATGGGTCAGATCGAGTATGGATTACTGAATTTGTATTGCATAGAAATGAATTAATTTGGGTCAGACTATTTTCGATCCGACTTAAACCCGAGCTGACTCACCCGTTTTACAGATCTACCCAAATGTGTATAAGGTGTTGTGTCAAAAGGGTAACACGTTGAATAGTTTAATTGGAGACATGTCTAAATGTGTTCCAAACGGGACAACCCGGGAGCAACAAATTTACTACTCGTGTATAAACGAGTTGACCAATTTACTAAACCCGACTAGACCTCAATTACCTATCTAGCGGGTCTCCTGTAAATATTTCTTGTAAAAAATTGCTTGCCGTATTGATGAATTACGCATATGAATATCACACAAATGTGAAATTAACATAAATAAGCATATGACAACCGGGGGGAGAGGAAAGGGTTTTTGTCAGGGTTTTTATCCTAGGTTAATACCAAAAAAAACTTCAAACTGGTACACCCGTGATAATTTTATCTCAAACTAAGTTTTTGACCACAAAAAATCCCAAACCGGTACACTTGTGACAAATTTACCCTCAGTTTGTTTTCGTTAAATTTTACTGTCAAATTATTTTGTTAAATGACACGCGACAGTTAACTGATGTACCGATTTTATGGTTTACGCTCCGTTTATCATAGGTGTATCAGTTTGTGATTTTTTGTGGTATTAATTCAATTTAACATAAACTAATAGAGGGTAAATTTATCATAAATGTACTAGTTTGGGATTTTTACTGGTCAAAATATTAGTTTGGGGTAAATTTATCACAGATGTACTAGTTTGGGGTTTTTCGTGATATTAACCCTTTTATCTTTTCAAACATATTATCGGAAACTTCCTTGAACTACCCTTTTGATTGATGGGTAACAATCGTGGACAACAACTACATTTATAATGAAAAATGGTCAAAAAGTTCATTGTACGGCAGCTAATTCAGTTTTAAACCTTTCAATTTTGTTAATTTAGTCTTAAACATTTCAATTGTTCCAATTTAATTCAAAACCTTTTGTCGATTTGCCAATTTAGCATTTCCGACCAATTTTGATCGGAAATCACTGACGTGGATACCAGTCGTTTTGCGTGGCACGATTGGGACAGCTGACGTTAATGTGGACAAATTGACAATTATTTAGTTATTTTTTCTTCCATTTTTCTTTTCTTTTCTTTTTTTCTTTCTTTCTTCCTCCACCAGCCATACACAAGGGCCGGTTTGGGCGAGGTCTAGCCTCGCCGCCAGATCCAGCGAGGGTTGCCCTTGCTTGAAGCTAGTGACCTCCGCCAACCATCGACGAGGCTTGGTAATGGCCGATGGAGGGAAAAAGGCAAAAAAAGAAAGAAAAGAAAAAAAGAGAAAAAATTTGCAAAAATTGTCCACCTCAGCTTTGGGCGTACCACGTAGGATGGCCGGTGATGACTAGACCACCACGTCAACGATTTTCAGGTCAAAATGTATCGGAAGAACTAAAGTGGTAAATTATTAAAATTTTTAAAACTAAATTGGTATAATTAAAAGATTTAGAACTGAATTGGCTGCCGTACAATATATTTAGGATTTTTTGGACAATTTTCGTAAATAACTTTTTGTATTAAGTTATTTTGCATGTGAATGATGTCCATTTTACAACTCACAAATCAGAAGAGTGACTTAAGGAAAATATAGTTCTATCTTCAATTTCCAAGACGCCAATCTATTATCTTCTCCATGTATTATATATACAAAATCAGAGTTGAGAGATTTTTCACTCTATGTGGTCACCATGTGGCACTTTAGTTTGCCTCCATGAAGGCCGCGCGGTAAGTCACATGACATAAATTTACCACGTGTCCCACTTGAGATTAATAAGCATTAGTTTATTGATTTTGGCCCCAAAATGTTAGTTTTGACTGAATCTAAATATAAATAAAGAGAAAGTCTCTTCAAAATATATATTCCAATGATATAGTCTGATTTAAATATAACTGCTCAACTATATTCACGAACAATATAATTCTTTATTTGAATAATACTAATCAAACCACATAGTTTACTTAGATCAACCAACTTTATCTTGCTAAATATAAATGATATGGTCTATTTAATTAAACAAAACTTATCAAACTAATAATAAAATACAATAATTAAATTTTTAATATGTTTCGGCGCTATCGTTTACTTTTTATTTTATTTCCCCATCTCTAAGTGCTTAATAAAGGTTTTAAAGAATCCTGTTATATTTGGGAGCAAAGTGGGGGAGGAAAATGCAAAGAAAATATCCACTATTTTACATCGTGCATCCTTTCCTTACAAACAAATTTTTTTAATTGTTAAAAATTTTCCACCCAAAATTTCTTTTTCTCCATTTTACCCAATTTCCCATACACCTCATTAAATATGAGATTCAATAATGTCGTTTCAGTGTGAGAGGGTTTCGTTGGTGAATCTAAGGGGGCGTTTGGCAACTTGCCAAATAGTAAAAATTTCTGTTCTTTTGTTTCCAGAATCAGTTTGGGAACAGAAATCCGTTTGTTAAAAATTTTGTACCCGGGCACGAATTTGCAAAAAAATTGTTCCCAGAATCAATTTTGAAACAGAATCAAGAAGTAAAAAAAAGTAGCTTCTTGATTTTGGAACAATTTTTCCATTTTTGATTCTTCTTGATTTTCTTATTTCTTTTTTATTTGTTATTCATCTTCTTCCCGGCCCGCTGCCGGCGACCAGCCACCGGTGACCGTCCCTCGGTGACCAGCCATTGATGACCGTCCCCCGGTGACCAGCCACCAGCGACTGGCCAGGGCCGGCGAGGTCGGCCTTGCCCAGATCTGGCGAGGCCGACCTCGCAGTCACCAGGGGTGGCGACGGCGAGGTCGGCCTCGCCAGATCTGGGCGAGGTCGAGCCTCGCCTTGCCAAGGCGAGGCCGACCTCGCCGTCGCGGGGGGTGGCGACAACGAGGTTGGCCTCGCCA